TCTTGCTGTCGAAAAGGCGCTGGTAGCCGCAGTCTGCCTACGTTAGCCGACCAAACAGGCCGCCTGAATCCGCGCCATCCGGAACCACGCACGCCGACCGTGAGGACATCCCTCCTTCTCCTCCTTGCCCGTCGGACCCAACTTTCTCAACACGCCGACGTCGGTATGTATGAGACGAGGGAACACCGCGATGATTAGTTACACCCTCCCCCCTATCCCGAGGACCATTTGCACACTACACATAACTGACCGTTTTAATCCCTGCAAATGCATTGGCCTGATGACGAATGGCTGAAATCACATGTTTGCCAAGATGAATTCTCAATCATAAAATGGGAATATTTGCAGAATTTCGACTATATTAAAGTCTCCGTTTTCGGGGCTACGATGAGTACAGCTGGCCAATGTCGGGAAAATTCTTATACCAACTGTTAGGGTACCTTCAACAAACTCGATAAGCTCAAGACAGCAGCCTCGGTGCAGGCAGCACACATAACTTCGCATTGATAGAGGCGTGGTCGAGTAAAGAAATAGTGGGAAGGGAACGAATGCAATACTGGAGGCTACCAACTGTTCCATCCAGGCGGGAGTCCGAGACTTTCTATATCCAATAAACGTTTCCGCTTTCAGAGGGAAATTACCGACGTAGTAAACCGAATGTATGAAATAATTGCAGGCAAAATTAAAATCACACTCATATTTTGTGCTGAAAACAACGTCTTAAAGAATTTTCAGCATGGCTTTCGACTAGGCACTCCTGCCTTTCAAATTTGCTGAGTTCACTTAAGCTCTAGGCCAGTGCTTCAGAAGAGGACTTCAAAGTAGATGTGGTTGACATCGAATTCCTTATAGTCTCTAATACCGTATACCATCAGCGCCTTTTACGTAAACTGAGCGTTCTTGGCATTAAGAGGGAAACCTCTAGACTGAATCAATACATTTTTGGTCGATCGAAAACAACTCGTGTGTATCGCGGAGTGATTGAATGAATGTGGTTATTGGTTTCTTCAAAGGCCCGTTTTCGGTCATTTTCTTTTCATCTTTTTATGTAAATAACAGCCTTCAGGAACTGCGATAAGATCATGTTTGCCGATGACATTATTCAGGTTCTGAACGACAAGGAAGCTCTGCAAAATAATCTGTACAGACTGAACTCGTGATCCGAGAGATAGCTCCAAGATTTCAATGTGCAAAAGTGTGCCGTCCTCCACCTGCTTCCAAAGAACTAACCTACGAATGACTCTAAGAGGGCACACTACCTGAAAAAAACACTCAAATTACCATAGAGACTTCACAAAATACCTCGGCATTTGGATACATTTCGGTTTGTGAATTTGAAAGAGCAATTACTGTTCTAGGAAAGTCTCAATATCAGTTCAAAAATCTGTAAATCTACTGTTCTTTCTTTCACATGCTAGCGGCTTGTTCCGTCGACCTTGAAATGTGCATTCTGTCAGGTCTTAATGAGTCGGACAATTTGGATGTGTCCGAAGTGTTTTTTCCACTTTGAGCACATTTGCTTAATGGGAGCAAACCGATAGCCTCGATTGCCACATTCTCGCGAGCGGAATTACTAAGAAGCACAGCGAAAAAAATTGAAATGCTTTTGTTTTCTTGAAGAAGTAACCGTGGTGTGCGAGACAACAGTAATTAATTCGGGATTCCAAATCAATTCAGTTGATAATCCGTAATTTAGTGTGCCCTGGAGAAGAAGAAGAAGAAGAAGAAGAAGAAGAAGAAGAAGGCAGGTTGATCACCGGAATCAGAGTTTTATTTGTCTGAGCTTTCGAGCTCTTCAGAACTCTGTTCTGGACAGATGCGACTAGGGGAACGCACACGCCAACACGTATAAAACGTCGGCGCAAGAGAGCCAGATAACTAAGTCATCATCATGCCCTATCCAGCGCGTGTAATGAACGTTCAGCAGGTCTCAACCGCATACCGGCCATGAGGTAATTAGTGTACAAGCGGGAAATTATCTTAGATAGGTGTGTCATTTATTGACCCAGCTATGCAGTGACTGTATCCCATAAATACTTCAACTCCCAGTGTATGAATTACCCATATCTGTTAGTGTCTTTGATGCTGATGGATTTTGAAACCTCAAGCGAATAAAATTCTTATCTCAACGATCACCTTTGCTTCATCTCAGTTACTTCCTGAGACTCGCATCTTCGCCTTTATGCAAGTATCTGAGGGTGGCCCGCCGGCCTTGTGGCGTTACAGTCACAGGACTGCCCCATAGTCTTGTAGACATAAATCGCTTTGACGGCTTTTGAATGGCTGAAAGTTAGGGGAGGCAGAGGACAACCAGCCAAACAATCTTTGGCAACATGAGCTTATGTAGCCCCACTCATTAATTCCTACAACCTGCATGTTTCCCTACAAAAACGGTGGTTATGGGAGGGAAATTAGGACACGCAGTGGAATATACATAAATAAATGCTAAATGCATTTTTATTTTCTGTATTTAGAAGTGTTGTTGATTTATATCTGCAGATTTTCCTAATCTGTAT